ATAAAGGTAGATTTAATTAATACAATTTTGTGGATTTTAATATTTTCTATAATTTTATTAATAAAATTATAAAAAATGTTGTGCTTTTTAAAGTTTTTCTTAGTCAATCTCTTTTTAGCTTATAAGTAAAGTTGTAGAATACTTTCTTGCGATTAAAATGGCAGTTAAAACGTTAAAATCGGCCTAGTAGATCGCGATATATAAGCATTTTTGTCTTCGCGATTATATGCTTTATAAAGAAGAAAACATATAATCGCGAAGACAAAAATGCTTATATATCGCGATCTACTAGGCCGATTTTAACGTTTTAACCGCCTTTTTGATCGCAAGACACGCCTCTACAACTTTTATTAGAAAGCGAAATAAGGTTTACTTTGGCGTCTCAGACGGAAAATGCCACAATTACATTTTTGATATTTTTATTATAAATATATCAAAAAGGTAACTTTGGTATCACTTAACGTAGAAGTATGAGTCCTACGCTTCGCTTCGGACAAAGACTAAAGCAGAACTAGTTCTTATGGAATTTGCACTTCCACAACTTAAAAAAAATTTAAAAGAACACAACAACAATAGAAAAGAAATTAAGATAAAGAGTTCAGAATACAATAAGAGGCAAATTATAGCTAAGCAAGTTGACAATACAAATAAAATTAAATTAGAACCAGTTTTTATAGAAGTACAACCAACATTTACTATTAACACAGTTACTAATACAATTAACAATATCGAATTGGAACTACAAAACAACACTTGTAAATGCAATTATATAGAACAGGAAAAGTCTAAACACACTCGAAATAATGAACAATTAGTGATTAAAAATGTACTTATTAAAAAAGAGTGTGGCACAACAGACTATGGTCTTAATAAATATATTGAAAAGATATTACAAAGTAAAACAAAAAGCCCACCTCAAACAGACAACAAGAAACCAAAAAAGTTTAAAAACATTCATAATTCAGTTTGGGCCCCAAAAAGTACAATTACTTTGAAAGAACAGCCACAGAATTCAACACAATACTTCACTTTGTGGGACCTATTCAAGAAAATAAATGCAAATACAATTAGATTATTTCTTTGCTATTATGGTACAGTAATAGTTGTAGCATAGCAGCATAACTTTAGAACAAAGACGGCATATATAAAAAACTTACCAAATTGTGTTTAAAGAGAAAAAGCACTAAAAGAAAGCTGGGCATTGCAATTAGACCAAGGCAAAACATATCAAATTATACCAGACAAGTTTAATATCAATGAAGTAGAGAAAAGAAAAAAATACAGATATGTAATTTCCAATATCTCAACAACAGCAAATGATAGCCTCCTTCTTCGACAACTTAAGAATTTTAAAGTCCAAGCAGTCTATATACTAAATAATAGCAATGGAAACCAAAAGAAAAGATGCATCTTTATTTTAAGTCAGAAGAAAATTTGGTACTAGCCCAACAATATAATATTTATTATTTCAACACTAAGCTTTCCTGGCTCATGGACGGGAAAACCTAAATAGAAGAAACTCTTTCAACTATCCATTCCAATATAGTAAAGAAAGCAGAAATATGAACAAAGGAAAGAGACCTGTAATTAAACCGTTAACTTAAGTAGAAAATAAAATTGCCAAAAACATACACACCAAGAGAAATAGGAGAAATATAAGCCCTAATAGAAACTTCAATAATAATTTGAAAAAGAGTAAAAGCAATAGCAATTGCAGTTCTCGAAGCAACTTAAGAAAACCTCTCAGAAATAGCGAAAATGAATATGCAACAGGCTTTAATAGAATAGAATTAGCCAGAAAAAAAAGAAAAGAAAACCAGGTAAATGCAAATATGAAAAAAACAGAGGTTGGAAAAATGCTTGCAGAATTGCAAGAAAAATTTAAAACAATAGAGAAACTGTTTACACTGAGCTCCTAAAATTAGCCTTAGTCAAATTAAAGAATTTGGGCAAGGTAGACTTTCCCACAATTATCTTAGAAAAGCCAAAAACAAGTGGGAATCATTTAGAAAATATTAGCTTTGAGTTACTTAATTTGGGGTTCTATAATATTAATGATTTAAAGTTAAACAGGCAGAAATTACTAGCACTTGCAAAGTTAGGCAAGAAAAAAAATTTAGATATAATTGGGATTGCAAAGACGAATCTGAAACAAAAAGAGAAAAAACAGAGCAAATAGGCTATAGCAGTTTCTGGTTATCGAAAGAAGAAGACAAAAATAAAGGCTCTAGAGTAGAAGTACTAGTTAACAAGAAGTGGTCAAAGCACATAGAACAAGTAGTACAATATAGCCCATATTTAATTAAGAAAAAATAAATACATCGCACTATGTGATGTGCTAATTTATCGCATGTATATTTAAATTATAATTTGTAGATCTGTGTAACAACAAATTTATATACACCAAAAAATTAATACTAGATTGGGTTAGGGTTAGGGTTAGGGTTAGTGGTTAGGGTAGAGTGTAGTATATACCAAAATTTTGTGAGGAATTTTTTTTGTTAGAGCTCGAAAGGCAGTTTCATAGACGGCATTTTAAGCTATTTCAAAATTTTAAAAATTTCTTTATTTTTGTTACACGAAATTAATTTGCATGTTACACCTAATCTTTAAATTTAATTGGTCAATTGTTAAAAGGCGATGTATAAGCACATCGCAGCATGCGATGTCTAATTAAGTCTTTTAATTAAAATAGAATTTTTTTTCAAAAAAGTAGTAATACAGATATGGATCTTATATTTGCCACCTGTAGACAAAAAAGTTTCTAGAAAAATTTAACGTATATTAATAAGAGAGATATGTAGAAACAAGATCAATACATATGTAGTAGTGATGGGTGATTTTAATGCTCTAAGTAGTACAGAATTGGACATAGACAATAAAAGCTGTACAAATCAGAGGCTTAGCAGATCGATTTTAGAGTGGCTTAAAAACAAGGAGTTTACAAATTCTTTCTGTTATATGCATCCCATGAAAAAGAATATATCTAGCAAAGAGAAGATTCTTGATCAAGAATCAACTACATCTGGATAGGAGAAGAAATATGTGAAAATATAGAAAAAGTATTAATCAAAGACATTAATTTGTGTACGGGCAATGATCACAAACTAGTTGTAGCCAAAATAAACACAAGTATTATACTAAACTATGGTAAACTCCAAAGAAAGAAAGATGCAAAAAAGGCTAGAAGAATTTTTCTTTACTACAAAGCTACAGAAGAAAATTGGATAGCTTATAATAACCTGGTTGATTATCTTTTAAAAGAAAACAAAGCCAATCTGAAGAATCTCCAACACGACACAACTGACATTGATAAAGAATAGAACATTTTAAGTAATGTAATATTGCAGGCTGCTACAAAACATATCCCCTCAACCAATATTAAGAAAACTGAGTTGCAGACAAAAAAATCAGTCTCCTCACAAAAAATATATAATGAAAACAAGCTTCTATACCAAATTCAAAGAGAGACAAAAAAACACAATGAGAAAAAAATAAGTCTTACAGATTAGACAAATTTTAATAAACAAATAGAAAAGATTAATCATAAGCATCAGATACAGATTAAATGTCTGCCAAATAAGTGGAATCAAGTGGATATAAACGAGTTCAAAAATTGGAGTAAAACTTTGAAGAAAAAGGCAGAAACAGAAGAATGCAAATTCAAAGAAAAAGAGATTAATGCTAAAATAAAACAAAGATTTAACATGATGAAAAAAGATAAAAAAAGAATGCTTCAAAGTCTTCTAAACAAACCTCATAACAAGGTAGCTATTAATAGAGTACTGATAGATGAAAATACATACTACCAGAACCAAGAGCTAATTAATGAAAAATCAGAAGTGAAACAACAAGTGGTCTTACACTTTCAAAAACAATTTAGAAAAAGAGCTCAAAAGTTTGATGAAATAGACTTAGAGTGATAAGCAGAATATAAGCCAAAAGAGAGTATTGACTTAAGCTAGTATGATGGTATAATATCCCCAATCAGTGAAGAAGAATGGCTTCAAGCACTCCGTAAAGCCCAAAACAAAACTGCACCTAGTCTGTTAGAGATCAATTATATTCTGTTTAAAAAAGTATTTATAAAAACAACGAAGTGGTTTATAGACTTTATAAACTTAGTACTTAGATACGGTAAAATTTCAATAAAGTAGAAGCTAGATTAATTATATTTAATTCCAAAAAGAAGCTTCTGGGAGTATAACTTAAGCAACACAAGGCCAATAGCATTATTAGAAACATGCAAAAAAGTTCTAACACAAATAATACAAGCAAGATTAGATATAACTCTAAGAAAGAACAATATTTTAAAAGGAGCGAACTTTGCTAGACTATTAGGCGAAAGTATAACAGCCCCTATACATATTATGAACAATGTAATAGAAGAAGCTATAGAAAAAAGAAAGGAATTATAGGTTGTATATCAAGACATGAAAAAGGCCTTTAATTCAGTAAGCATAGTAGCACTTAAAAAAGCTCTAGAAAGATTAAAGTTCCCCCCAAACCTAGCAGACTTTATTCTAAATTTTTTTGAAGGCAGAAAATTTAGTATCATAACTGAATACAGCAATATAGATTTTTTTAAAGCTGGAGATGGAATAGACCAAAAGGAAGTTTTGTCCTCTTTGGTCTGAAGAATTTTCTACAACCCATTACTATGCAGAGTGCAAAAGGCCAAGCTAGATTACAAAATGGAAATTAATAAACAAAAGATAGGCACTGAGAGTCTGCAAATAGAGGTTCTAGCTTATGCTGATGACACAATCTGGATTATAGCTAGTCAAGAAAGTATGCAAAAAACAATAGATATCGCAAATGAATTTTATAACTTAAATGACATCAAAATAAACCCAAATAAAACAGAGCTAGTAGTTTTCAAGCCAGAGAGTAAAAGGAACACTAAGAAACACTCTATCTGGGCTGGCACACCAAAAACAAAATCTTAGCCAAAGGTTTTAAAGAAACAACATGTTTTCTTGATATGTGAATATCAATAAAAAATCAGCAGAGATCAGATATAGACAGAGTAAAAAAAGAAGTAAAAAGAATTGTGAGAATCATGGGTCTATTAAAACACAAGAAGATGTTTCTAAGTCAAATTATTTATCTAAACAATATAGTACTAATACTAGCACTAGAGTATAGGCTTATGATCTTGTGTGACAAAATTTACCAACCCATGTTACAGTTAACAAAATAGAAAATGTCATTGCTATCCACTATAGCAAATGCAATTTCAAAACATCTAGAGATAGCGAATTTTAAAGCCCTCTGGAATAGACACGTAGAGCATCATATCTCAGAACTATTAGTTAGATTAAACATATATGAACCTTTGGAGGTATCAACAGTAATAAGATTAAAACAAACTGGGATTAGTAAAATGCATACTCTCAAACCAAGATCTCTTAAAGGAAAAAAGGACTAGAACAAAAAATTTGGGTATGCAATGCAAATTTCATATTACTAATTAAACTTTATAAAAAGCAAAAAATCTAGCATGTAAAGGCAAAACCACAACAGTACAATGATGAATTCAAGAAAGAAGCACACAAATCGAATGCAATGACAGCATTTAGGAAAAATAGAAATAGAAATTATAAGTAACAATCTTTTCTATTATATAGGCTATGATTTAACTTTTTTAATTTCATATTATTTATAGAAAGAGAAAAATTGGGTTAGGGTTCTGTAGCCTAGTAGTCTAGATACCTAACCCTCCACAAACGAGGTTGATGATTCAATTATAGCTGGTGGTAATTAATTGAATTAATTAACTCTGTAATCTGTAGGGGCTTTTGAATATGGAATCCTGTGGTGGTAAAACCATGTGAAGTATATATTTGGCCGATAAAGAATTCTTGGAAAAAGTTCTAAGCTATGGGCACTGCATATAATATGGGTCACAGAAGGTATTACTGCAGAAGGCTGTATGTGTGAATCCACAATTGGCAAGGTAGCACCAACAACCCTAAGGCGGCATTGAGATCTTGATTGGGAGGACGGCTATATGCAGTATATCCAGAAGTGGTGTGAGAAGCAGTAAACATAGTAAGGAGCTGTGGTAAAAGAATGGCTTTACCAAATATAGAACACCTCTAGTGCAATAAAGAAACAAGGAAAACTGGTTAAAAGAAACCCGAAAAGCATGGAAGCAAGTACCCTGATAGTATGAACATAAAGATGGCTAGTGAGTATAGTCACACAACCTATATGGAAGTCTATGATGAAACATAGCAGAAGCATAGATCCCAGGTTACTGCTTTGTGGCAGTAATTAAATGAGGTTCTTAACTTCCATCCTAAGGATCTAGACTTCTGTATTACTATACTGATAGGGAGTACTTTAAAAGGAGTGGTAGCCTAATTAAGTAGTGTATGATATTAATACCTGGACCCATGTAAATAGCTCTCTTAATAGTGGCAGCAGGTGGCTTGAGATACGAGTCTTTGGATAGTGGCAGCATCTGGCTTGGGATATGGATTAGGACTCTGAAATAACATACTCAAGGGACACCAAACTGGAAGCAAAAAGAGTGCCCACTTCTAGAACACCAATTTGGAAGTTATACAAAATACGAATTAGAAGTAATATGATAAGTGATAAGGGGTGAACTATAACTGGTAAATGTTGTATAGTAGTATATATAGTGGGATATATATG